ATCCCAACAACAGGTGAGCAAAGGCCCTGTCACCTGCTGTGAAAACCACAGAGCAAAGAGGAGGACCCGCTCAACAAACAAGGCAGGCTCTGGTCACCACAACACCAACCACACCCCAAATCAAGGGGATAATAGCCAGCATGCACAGAGGAAAGACACTGAGATCACCCATACTAAAAACAGCCTTTGCAACAAAATTATTGTATCTGCATGGTCTACAAAGGAGCGTTTCCACTTAAAAAAAGAAAAGCCCTTCAGGATCACAGTAAATACCTGTTACTCCTAAGTTCATACAGTCAGAGAAATATAAATAAAATGAAGAAGCAGCAGAACCACTCCCAATTAAAAGAACAAGAGAAGTCCTCTTAGAGAACAAACAATGAAATAGACCTTGACCATCTACTAGATCATGACTTCAAGGTGTATTGAAAAGGTTGAAGGAAATAAGAGAATATCAATAGAAATGAAAAAGACTATATAACAGAAATAGAAACTATAAAGAGGAATCAATTAAAATCAGAAGACTCAATGGCTGATATAAAAGCCGAGCTAAAGGCAGTCAATAGCAGACTAAATACTTCAGAAGAATGAATAAGTGATTTAGAAGACAGAATAACGGAAATCACCCAATGAGAACAACAGACAGAAAAGCAAATGAAAGCCATTGAAACTATAAGGGACCTATGGGAAAACATAAAGTGTGCCAACCTATGCATAATAGGGGTCCCAGAAGGAGAAGAAAGATAAAAGAGGATTAAAAAGGTTTTTGAAGAAATTATGACTGAGAACTTACCAAACCTGAAGAAGAAAACAGATATCCAAGTACAGGAAGCACAGAGGGTCCCACAGAAGATGAACCCAAACAGACCTACACCGAGACATATTATACTTAAGATGCCCAAAGTTAAAGATAAAGAAAAGATTCTAAAGGCAGCAAGAGAAAAACAAAGAGTTAGCTATAAGGGAATACCTATAAGGCTTTCAGCTGATTTCTCTACACAAACACTACTGGCCAGAAGGGAGTGGCAAGATATATTCAAAGTCTTAAATGAGAAAAAATCTGGAACAGAGGATATTCTACCCAGCAAGACTATCCTTTAGAATAGAAGGAGAGAGAAAGAATTTCTCAGAGAAGCAAAAACTAAAAGAATTCAGCAATACTAAACCTATCCTAAGAGAAAAACCAGAAGTTCTTTTCTAAATAGAAAAGAATTAAGAAGCTGTATAAAAAAGTAAACCATAATTGGAAATGCAGTATCTACAATGAGCTGCAAGAGAATAAATATGACAATGTAAAAGAGGACATGAAAATCATAGATGGTGGGAGAGGGGAGCAAGAAAATGTAAATTTTCTTTTTGTTCTTCTTAGGATGTGTTTGAGCCTATAAGACTACCATTCTAAAGCAAACAGATATGCTAATGGGTTAACATACTTGAAAAATAGGGTAACCACAAATAAAGAGCATATAATACAGTCACAAAAAAACCAAAAAGAAACCGTGCTAACACAAAAGAAAATTATCAAGCCACAAAAGGAACAACAAAAAAGAAGAAAGGAACAAAGAAATACCAAGTCAACTGGAAAACAAAGTTTAAACTGGCAATAAACACACATCTGTCAATAATTACTATAAATGTCAAGGGGCAAAATGCTCCAATCAAAAGACATAGAGTGGCAGCTTGGATAATAGAACAAGAGCATACATTATGCTGCGTACAAGAGACTCACTTTAGGGTAAAAGACACAAATAGATTGAAAGTGAGAGGATAGAAAAAGATATTTCATGCAAAAAGAAATGGCAAAAAATAGGGGTAGCAATACTCATATCAGACAAAATAGACTTTAAAACAAAGGCCATAAAGAAAGATAAAGACACTATATAATGATAAAAGGAAAAATACAAGAAGAGGATATTACATTCATGAACATATATGCACCCAATATAGGAGCACCTAAATATATAAAACAAATACTAACAGACATAAAGGGAGAAATTGATGAGAACACAATAATAGTAGATTTTTACTCTCCACTAACATCATTGGACAGATCTTCCAGACTGAAAAATCTATAAGGAAAGGGAGATACTAAATGATGCAATAGAATTGTTGGACTTTATTGTTATGTTTAGACGATTACATCCCCTCAAAACAGAATTTACATTCTTTTCAAGTGTATGTGGAATATTGTCTAGGGTGGACTACATTCTCAGACACAAAAGAAGCCTCCACAAATTTAAGAAACAGAAATTATTTCAAGCACCGTTTCTGACCACAATGCCATAAAACTAGAAATCAACCACAGAGGGAAAAAATGAGGGGGAAAAAAGAAAAAAAAGACTGCATGGAACAACATGCTACTAAACGAATGGGTCAATGATGGAATCAAAAAAGAAATTTAAAAAATGCCTTGAGACAAACGGCAATGAAAACACAACCACACAAAACCTATGGGATGCAGCTAAAGCAGTCTTAAGAGCAAAATTCATAGCGATACAGGCCTTCCTCAAAGACAGGAACAATCTCAAATAAACAACCTAATCTACCACCTAGAAGAATTAGAGAAAGAAGAACAAACAAAAGTTAGTCAGCAGAAGGAAAGAAAGAATAAAGATGAGGTAGGAAATAAATAAAATAGAGATTAACAAATAGGAAAAATCAATCAAACCAAGAGCTGTTATTTTTAAAGAGTAAACAAAATTGACAAACCTCAGACCAGGCTCACCAAAAAGAAAAGAGAGAGGACACCCATAAACAAAACAAAGAGTGAAAATGGAGAAATTACAACCATATATATATATGGTATATTCTTGCCTCCTTTGTCAAAGATTAATTGACCATAAATCTGTGGGTTTATTTCTGGCCTTTCTATTCTGTTCCATTGATCCATATGTCTGTTTTTGTGCCAGTACCACACTGTTTTGATTACTAAGCTCTGTAGTATTGTCTGAAGTCTGGGAGGGTTATTCCTCAAGGTTTGTTCTTTTTCTTTAATATTGCCTTGGCAATTCTGGGTCTTTTGTGATTCCATATAAATTTTAGGATTATTTGTTCTAGTTCTGT